GCAGTTATACTTGTTATCCACCCGTGACAATTCCAGTATAGATCTAGTTTCCATAGTTTTCTTTACTTTCTTTTGGCAACGGCTAAAGGTTGCCAAAAATCCACATTAAGCTTCTCAGAATCATGCATGAATAGGTGGCCTTAGGGATTGAAATTATTAATAAATAAATACATGGGTGAAATTTAAATGTTGACAGGTCAGGAAAAGCACTCTGGGATGGTGGATGGGTTAAGACAGGGAATAACTTGGATTTAAATACTTATTTATCCATTAAGCTTGCAGGATCACTCTCTTCCACAAAGCTTGCTCTACAGGGCTATTGCAAAAGTAGGAAACATCATAACTAGCTGTCCCATACCAAGTCAGATAATGTGCCTACATAGTAGGCCAGTCATGTTTTTCCTGACCAGTGGCAGCTCTCCAGAGTTTCATTCAGAGATGGGTGTTTATCATCCAGGGCTTGTAACTCAACATGCCAGAAGACTGAAACTGAGACTGAAACTATAACTTCCCATGTATCTTAGAGCAACAATCCATTCCTTATTTATGAGAGAAAAAAGGGAGTGCTGGCTGCAAAAGAGAAAAAGGAACCCAGACTTTCCCCACTGACAGCCTCCAGACACAATGGACTGCAACTCTCAGAATTTCTAGCCAGCCCAGCCAAAGAGAATTACAGTCCAATACAATGAGCCACAGTGGCGCAGTGGTTAGAGTGCAGTACTGCAGGCTACTTTTGCTGACTGCCGGCTGCTTGCAATTTGGCAGTTCAAACCTCACCAGGCTCAAGGTTGACTCAGCCATCCTTCTGAGGTGGGTAAAATGAGGACCCAGATTGTTGGGGGCAATAGGCTGACTCTGTAAACCGCTTAGAGAGGGCTGTAAAGCACTGTAAAGTGTTATATAAGTCTAAGTGCTATTGCTAATACCACTAAAGAATGCCAGGCTGACGGGTGGGACAATCAGCTCAATGAAACACTGTTTATGGTTTTTAGCCACGGAATGTGACTTGATTGCTGGAAAAGGAGAAAAAGCAAAGGAGAGGGGAGGATCAGTTTGAATAACCCTGAATCAAAGCAGTTTGCACTGCAGGGACTTCTCAGTAAGGGCTCCACTCTTTCAGGAGTCTTTGCTTTGAAAAGTTATCACCGTAACTGATGTGTTGCCCTCTTTCTGCAGCCATGTTATTAATGTCTAAAAATGTTATGGCTCAGCCTCAGGGGGAAAATAATGGCTGAATTACAGTTCTGAATTATGGTTATATGTTATTGATGTTTTGTTTGCCTTTTTATTATATCAATGGTTTCACTTCCTTATGCATAATGACTTCATTGATTTATTTGATTGCTAAGGCTGCCCAATCCTATCATGACTGTGGGAAGTGAACAATTTAAAAGGTTCAACCACCGTAAGAAGGGCAAATCAAAGATGATAAATGCGTGGAATGAGCAATACAGCATACAACCTGGACTCAGTTGTATATGAGACTCACCACACCCAAGTTCAAGTTTTGGGGGATACTCACCAGTGATGGAATTCAATTGTTTTTACTACCGGTTCTGTGAGCGTGGCTTGGTGCGCGTGGCAGGGGAAGGATACTGTAAAATCTCCAGTCAGAGGTGGTATTTGCTGATTCTCCGAACTACTCAAAATTTCCCCTACCAGTTCTCCAGAACTGGTCAGAACCTGCTGAATACCACCTCTGATACTCATGTGAGGTCAGCGTGGGCAGCCTTCACAAGCCACGAGGGCATCGATCTAATGGAAAGATGGTCAGGTTATCAGTCCTGAAGACCCTGTCCGCTTCCTTGTGAGTTACAGATTCAAACTCATCCCAGCTAACCATGTAGGACCTTGGCTTCTGTCATTACCTGGTCAGAATTTAGATCTGAATGAATCCAAGCAACTTTGCAGATGATCCTATGGCTTTTCCCTCTCTAGCAGGGCACCTTTTAAAATTAGCCAATGGACAGCTCTCTGAGTACATGATAGGAGTAAAAAAAAAATAATATGCTGTTTTAGTATGCTTCTTTACTATGCAATCCTAACATGGGGTCTTACTTGTATTTGGTTGGATTCGCTCTTCATCTTTTTCTAATGGAACTCTAGGCCTATTTCCTGCTGTTTTGTCTTCTAGAATTACTTGGAGAGCCAAGGACCACTCTAGGATGGATGTACTGCAAGAAGCCACAGAGGTCTTGGTTGAGACTCTGGAAAGAATGTGGGGGTGCGGGGGGAAGCAACAAAGATGATTAGGGGGCTGGAGGCTAAAATATATGAAGAATGGTTGCAGGAATTGGTTATGTCTAGTCTAGTGAAAAGAAGGACTAGGGGTGACATGATAGCAATGTTCCAATATTTGATGGGCTGCTGCCACAAAGAAGAAGGAGTCAAGCTATTCTCCAAAGCACCAGAAGGCTAGACGAGAAAGAGTGGATGGAAATGGATCAAGGAGAGAACCAACCTAGAACTAAGGAGAAATTTCCAAACACTGAGAACAATTAACCAGTGGAACAGTTTGCCTTCAGAAGTGGGTGGGTGCTCCATCACTGGAGGCTTTCAAGAAGAGATTAGACAGCCACTTGTCTAGGGTCTCCTGCTTGAGAAGGGGCTTGGACTAGAAGATCTCCAAGGTCCCTTCCAACTCTATTATTCTGTTCTGATCCAAAGCCCACACCACATGACCACTCTAGGCAGCAACTAAAAGCTCAGTCAAACTACCCCCTTCCCTCAAGATCCTCAGGGAAACACACCCATATACACACCCAAGTTTCTCTGAAAGCCCTCAGGGTCCATGTATTTATTTATCAAATTTGTATAACCACTGATCTCTCCAAAGCATCCATTAATCATGTACGGCAGATCACTCTAATGGATTCTGTCTCCTTAGGGGGGCGGCAGCATTGACAAGCCAAAAAGCAATTCAGTTATAGACCGTGTTATCAGACCATCTGCTACCAAACCACTTTGTGACTTCTCCCTAGACAGGACAAGACCCAGTTCTAATCTTCAGTGCCTGGTATATGTTGGGCCTTTGATGATTTATGCAAGACTAGGATTGCCATGGTAGCCATGAACTCCTAAACTGCGCCAGATTGCAGGCCACCTGACTGCTGATTGAAGTCCTCCAAGAATTATCAGCTTTGAGGAGGATCTTCTACCAACCCTAGCAACTGAGTCAGGGATATCTCAGTGTAGCAGGAAGGCCACAAGAACAGTGGGTAGAGTCCAACTAGAGGGACTCTCGTCCAGTGAGTGATCTGTGGGGCAGAGCCTCTGAAAGCTATTGAAGTTTCATGGATTTAAAAATTGCTAACCTATTCTCACCCTAATGTTTTAATGTTACTATTATCATTATTTGCTGTGTTGGAGGGACCTTTTCCAGACATGGAGATAGAATACAGGTAGTCCTAGATTTAGAGCACAGGTGTGCCTCAATTTACATTTTGGTGACCATTCAAAGTTACAATGGCACTGAAAATGTTTTTGACTTATGAGCATTTTTCACATTTACCACCGTTGCAGCATTCCTGTGATCACATGATCAAAATTCAGATGCTTGGCAACTGGCATGTATTTATGACAGTTGCAGTGTTCCAGGGTCCTCTGATCACCCTTTACTACCTTCTGAGAAGTAAAATCATGGGAGAAATCAGCTTCACTTAATAACTCTGTTACTAACTTAACAACTGCAGTGATTCACTTAACAATTGTGGCAAGAAAGGTCGTAAAATGAGGCAAAACCCACTTATGAATTGTCTCACTTAGCAATATAAATTTTGGGCTCAATTATGGTCGTAAGTCAAGAACTACCTGTAGGGATATTTCAGTAGAAGATGAGAATGCTATCTTTTTGGATACTCGAACATTTCTTGTACTGCAATGAAGAGTTCATTGGACCAAATAATCTCTGCAACTCTTCCAAATCTTCAGTGATTCTAGAAGTGCAAACCAACCAACCCTTCGTCTTCTGTTAACTCCCTCCTTAATTAATAATAATATCTTAACATTCTGCCAATACATAATTACTTCAACTCTCTTGAGGAACAGAAGAAGCCAAACCTCAAACTGCTCTTAATTTAGCTCCAGGGAGCAGGTTGGACATTTTTCTAAAGAGAGGGAGGGAGGGAGGGGGAGGGAGGGAGAGATTTGAAAATCAAAGGAGGAAGGCTATCTCATCCTTTTCTTTAAAAACCCACTTTACATCAGAGAAAAACACAGAAGATTAGTCAGGTATTATAGCAACGACTTTTTCCCTCTGAGGCAGTTTGTTCCTTTCTTCTCCCTTCTCTCAGAGCTTTTAAGATCACCACATTTCCGTGTTGATTTAGACCTTTTTCCAACTTGATGCCACCTCAGCATAGCTGAGATCACAAGAACGGCTGCTCCTTAGGGATGCTCATCCGAGGATAATTTTGTTCCGAAGTCTTAATTTGTGTTGTCAACTGTTTCATTAACAGCACGCAGAATGCCTTGCGCAAATCACATAGGACAAAGGGCTGCCAAGACTGAGGCAGTGCCTGTTGATCGCTCAGCTCTCACTACCATGAATTGTATTGTCAAGTGGGGTGGCTCTGCAATAGATGGAAGGCTTCCCCATTCAGTGGAGGTCAGGACTCGGGGGTTCAATCCCCAGCATTTCCAAGTAGAGATGGAAAGACTCCGGCCAAAGCCTGGGAATGTGGCTGCTAGACAGTAGGGACAATGTGGCTCAGTGTCAGAGTTCCAAGTAACATTTATTCATTTGTTTGTTTATTTTATTTGTTTGTCAAGCATGCATGAGAAAACAAGTATATGTATGAACATAACATATAAATATAAAAGTATAAACAGGTATAAGTATGTGCATAATAAATGAGTATGAATAAATGGATAAATGGGAACAGCAGGATGGGGACAGTAGGCACACTGGTGCACTTATGCACACCCCTTTACAGACCTCTTAGGAATAGAGTAAGGTCCACGGTAGACAGTTTAAGGCTAAAGTTTTGGGGGGGTTGAAGATGTAACAACAGAGTCAAGTAGTGAGTTCCAGGCATTGACCATTGCGTTGCTGAAATATTTTCTGCAATTGAGTTTAGAGTGGTTTAACTTGAGTTTGTATCTATTGTTATTGTGTTGAAGCTGAAGTAGTCATTGACAGGTAGGACGCTGTAGCAGACAATTTTGTGTACTAAGCTTAAATCAGACCATAGGCAGGGTAGTTCTAGGTTGGCCAGGTCCAAAATTTCAAGCCTGGTAGCATAAGGTATTCTAGGCTGGAAATTTTGGACCTGGACAACCTAGAACTACCCTGCCTATGGTCTGATCTAAGCTTAGTACACACATACATATTCACATGCTCACAGCAAACAAAACTCCAAGACAGGTAGATTCTTCAAAAAGAATAGTTTTATTTGATATGTCATATTAGCACAGGCTGGTGAAAACTGACTCTGAAAGTCCCTGTGGTTTTCACCTAATTAAAAGTTAAAGTTTTTCCCCCTCCCCAATCAGTCAAATGGCCCAATCACGGCGCTGTCTCATTGTCTGGTGGCATCACTCCTCCTTCCTCTGACCAGCTGTGAGAATGTCCTTGATTCCCAAGAGAAGGTATTTTGTTTTGGCTACAAAACTCCAGCTATCTCTAATCCCTCCTCCCTACCCCTCAGGTCTCCTCAGGCAACACTGAAGCTCCAAGATGGCTTCAGTCAAGTCAGCTTCAGGGTTGACACTCAGCTCTGTTCTGTTTGAAGTTTTCAGGGGTTGTTGGATGATTCCTTATTTGTGAATCCTTGTGACAGGCGGTAAGCTTGGAGAAACCGAAGGAAGAGCCCCAACTAAGACAAGGGTCAGAGAAAAGAAATCTTAGTCCAGCGCGAAATATACTTTGAGGGAAACGTCTCAAACATGACCCTACCTAATTCTCTTGAACACAAAGGGAGGGAGAGGACAGGCATATTCAGACTTGCAAGATTCTGTTGTTATAATCTTATAATAAAAGTAGCATTAGCATTCATAACTTTGGTTTCCTAGTCTAGTTTACTTTGGAGAACTGACAATTACTCATATAGTCTATCACACATGCTGTGATTCAATGGTTTGAAACAACATATCTGGGCTGTAAATACCCAAATGGACACTAGATGGCAGTAAGGAGTTAAAGTTTTCTGCATCTCTTGGTTATCAACTAATGGTTTTAAGTCAGTTAGACACTAGAAAACATGCTTTTTGTGCTATTCTGAAATATCTACCGTGGGGAGAAGATTTATCAAAATGATAGCCTTCCTATGTGGTTGGTCATATGTCCTGTAGACCATGTTTGACAGTGTTGCTCTGTTACCTCTGTGCCCACACCATGGATACCTTGCAGGCCTGCTGCAACCACGAGAGAATTCTAGTTTACAGTTTACGCATCCACTGATTTAGAAGGGCTTTCCCACCTTGATCGTTTGAAGATCTCTCAGATCTCCAACTGTCATCCAGCTAAAGTAGTCAATAGTCATGCTGGCCTGGGGTCTTGGGAATTGTAGTTCAAGATATCTGAAAGACATCAGGTTGCAAAGCCTTGAAGATAAAGTGTGTGTGCGCATGTGCGTGTGTGTGTGTGTAACTTTTCATCATGTATTTACTTTGATCATAGATCAAATGCTAGGAGATAAACATAAATCTCCCTCTTTAGGGTTTTCTCAAGGTGGTTGGCATGCAGTTAACTAAACTCCCAACCCTCCCAGTTCTTTCTTGGTTTGTCCCTGCCTAGATCTTGCGCCCATTATCCAGCTCACTCCCTAAGGCACCTCTAAGTTTCTCTCTTTTCTCTCTGGTATTTAAATGGATCCACACCCAACTTCGCCCTTTTACTAATAATTGCACATACACAATTAATCAAATTCGACCAGAGCCTGTAAACCTTTTCTGAGAAAAGGCTATGTAATCCCGAGGACACAATGTCACCCAGCCTGAAGACGCCAAAAAAGATAGCTTAGCAAGGAAGACTCTTTATTCCCTTAGGGCATCCTGGTTATTACTGGAACTGGGGAGCCTGTAGAGACAGACAATGGGATAAGAAAAATGGAGAGAGGAACACCCTATTTTTATTTTTAGCAATATTCTTTTTCCACTGCCTTCTGATAATTCCCCCATGTTTCTAATTAAGCTGTCCTCTTGTAATCTGGTTTCTGCTTATCTCTGTTTCCTCTCAGAAATAAATAGCATTTATAAAACTTTCTCTGTTGAGTAGAGAAATCTATTATGGAATAACCTCTCCACTGCTTTCTCTTCAGCAAAAGTAGTTTGGCCACAGATATCTATTCTTTGGTAGCATCCTTTTTTGGAATGCTACCTTCAGAGTAATTGATCTAACACACAGCAGGAAAAGTATTGATGTGTACAAGCAGCCAGCCCTGATGGTTGAAGGGCAAGAGCATCCAGCTAGGAGCTGCTGAAGGGCAGGATAATGTGTGCCAGTCAGCCTGCTGGGCACGTCTAAACTAGCCTGTTGGAAAAGAGCATCCTATTGCTTGAATTGAAATAAGATGTATCCTTCTGTCTTATCCGCATTGATGTAGTGAGGGAGAGAGAACTATTTTGAACTTTGCTCCAGGAAATAAACAAACCTTTGCCAGCCTGTTGGGACCATTTATTTAGTAAGCACATTTATATGCCCACCCAACTGGTGCTCCAGGCAGCTTAAATAACTAAATTATTAAGTAAATTACTTCTTGTCCATTGCAAAATGTCCCTTCTTCCTCTCAATTGGTTTCTGACCCTAATGTGCTGTTTTTGACTTAAGATGTCAGGCACCACTTTCTTCCAAGCAAGTCTAATCAAGTTCTAGGATGAGTTCAAGACTTTCTCCATCAGAGGAGAGGAAAGTGGAAAGAAGAGACATGGTCTTCTCAGCAATGGCACCCAACGATGGGATTCCCTTCCTGGGAGATTACGCATCACTGAACCTGACATCACTTTGACAAGTAATGAAATCTTTCGCAATTTTGAGGTGGTTTAAATTTGTTTTCATCCATTTTTATTAGCCAGGCTAGCAACTGGTGGTTGATTTATGCATTCTTAGTGTTTCTACTTATGGATGGTGTCATGATGATTTTAATAGTATTGTAAAGCGCTCCAATAACCCATAGAATGAAATTCTAATGTTTTTAGTAAGCTGTTTAGAACTTTTATTTATTTAGGGAAAGAGCTCTATGTCTTTCATGCATTCCTATCTGAGTTAAGTGTAAAATATGGTATACATACTTATAGATACAGGCCATTTAACAAGAACTATTGTAAATGCAGAGACTGCAATCTACATGTTCTCAGAGCGTATACAAACCTCGGGTATTTCAATCATTTCATTTTTTTTATAACCTCTTCAATCATGATACATTAAATCCAAAGAAAAATATAGTGAAATTATTTGCCTGATTTAAAAACAAAGGGAAGAAGAAATATTCTGATCATGGATACTATTGCATTATAACCATAACTGAAGTTATTGTTCTACCATGACTGTAATGAAGTCTGTTTTTTTCCTCTTTTTAATATTAAACCTACTTCCTTTGGAATAAGGAATTGTGGTTGGTTGCACAGTCAGACAGATGTTTAAACTGGATTGGCATTTTTATCTGTCTGTTGAGTTTCTAAGGACCTGGGATAGGTAGATTTTGTGTGATTGTACCTTTGTATCATCCCAGGATGTAAGCTGTTGTAAGTAAAGCTGAATTTTGCAATTGACTGCTGTGGGTTTGTCAATGCCGATGTTGTTCAAGTGGTTCTCCAGAAATTTTCTTCCAGGCAAATGTGATTCCTTGCAGATATTCCAATGCACCATTGTTGCTACTTTGTCATGCCATTGTTTGTAGTCTGTGCAGTCTTCCTGCAGAGCTAACTAGATAGTTCACTATTTCTTCAGTTTTTTTGTAGACATGGAATTTGCTATCTGTTACCAGCTTCTCAATTCTAGCTTTATATGAATTTTTCTTAAGACTTGGTCTTGTGCAGCCAAAATTAACCTCTCTAACTCTTTTTTTCAATTTTCTTATTCTTAACCATTGCCAGCCCTTGTTGTTACATATCTGCTTTGCCTGCTACTTTTTTAATGCACTGTCCATGTAATACTTTACTTTGTCATGTCTCTTTTCTATTTTTCAGTTGGCCTTTATTGTAAGCCAATTTGGTGTCTCCAGTGTTCAGTAAGCCTTCATGAATGTACTAGCTTCAATGCATCTTCTTCCTTCAGATGTTCTTCCAATGCCCTTTTGTCTTCTTTACCTCTCTGGAGCACTTGCAACATTCCACATCCCGATGCACCTGTTCAGGTGGTTGCTCTTCAAACTGTAAGATGCTCTTTTCAAAAAAAAAATGAAGAAAGGATGGTGTCATCATCAGCCAAAGCAGAGGACCACACACAGTTCTCCCTCACATCATTTTTTGGTGTTTGGGGGGTGGGGGGGGGGTGAGAGCTAGAGAAACACTGCTGCAGTTCTTTTGTTACTCCTCATGTAGACTTACTGTTTTCCAGCTGTTTTCAATCAATTCCCAGAATCTCTATCCAGCTTAATCAAAACATACTGGGAATTGATGTCCAATATATTTAAAGGTGGAGGGATATTGTGTTATAATGGTGAGTCATCAGAAGACCCTATTGCCCTCCTAAAGGTCACTGTGAAATCCCTGTGAAATCCCTGAATGGATCTGGATCCATTTTCTAACACACACCCTCTTCACAAATTGCAGGCAAAATCATGGACGTGAAATGATTGTGAAACTGAAGGAGACTAGCAGATGACCAGACAGAGAATTTAGCAGCAGAGTCTCTGGAGTCAGAGCGGTTCTCGGAGGAGACAAGATCAAGAGGTTACCTGAGGCGATGGATGTGTTTGGGAGATGTTCCAAAGGCGGAGGTTGAAGTAGACGGAAGTTATGAGGAGACAGGCGGTTGGGCCAGGCAGATTCTCCCCAGACGTGTTGAAATCCTGAAGGAGCAGGCTGAACATTTTGTCAGAGAGGAAGAAATCAAGCCAAGCCCTAAGGAGGAC